ACACACACACACAAATAAATAAATAAAATTTAAAAAAATTAAAAAAAATACAGGTACTCCTTTCTTATTTTCAGATATTTTTTGTTTTAATGACCGACATATCTACTGATTGTTTGCACTTAAAATCCACTACTTAGACATTGCCACCTGCTGTTCTTTTTGTATAGTTCTGTACATCCTGTTTATAGAGTCTTACTGTCTTTTTTATATATTTGTTATAGAGTACAGTAATTTTGGCAGGTTGTGTAGTAGTTTGTGTTCTGTTACATATCACACTACAGCAGATAAGAGTTATGCAAATAAGACAGGGCGTGGTGGCGCACTCCTGTAATCCCAGTGCTTGGGAGGCAGAAAACGGGGATCATTTTGAGTCTGATCTGTATAGCGAGACTCTGTAGACCCTGCACTAAATATATTTTTTAAAAAGTTGTGCAAATAAAAACAAAGTCACAAAGTGGGAATTTACTTTGACTTTTTTTCTGAATAGTGTGTTGTGCATATTATATACAGTTTTTCAGTCAGTGACCAGTTCATTGAACAGCTGAGGGACAGGGCTGTAACTCGGTTGTTACTGAACTGTAAAAATCTGATATTCCCACGGAAACACTAAATACTGTATTCTGTAAAGTGCAATTTAAACAAGGTGATGTGTTAGCTTACATACTAGATGTGTTTATTGAGACATCATAGACTATTATACAAAGTTATTTTCTTTTATTTTTCTTTAAAGTGATTTGCTTTTCAGCTGTTCTGACTTTTGAAAGATTTCAAAATGTCAAAAATATGTAAAATAAAATCATGAAATGTTATAATTAGCACAAGTATTCTTTCCTCTCAGATGATAAGTATAGTATAGTAAGTAATATGTTTCTCAACAACAAATTAACACTTTTCCATATTTCTGTGAAGTTACTTGAAGGGACACTGGAGATGTTATGAGAGTGTACCCGTGCATACTTCAGCTTGCATCCCAGGCCAGCTTCTGCATAAGCAGTGTCTAAAAATCTGGTACTCGCATAGATTTTAAAATGCCCCTTTCCTATACATTTGTCCCAAGGGTGATTTGGTTACCCCATGCCCAGGTGAATCCAGGGTGGTTGACCTGACGCACATCCCTGCCCTTTTCAGTTTTTATTTGAGACAGCATCTTGCTGACTGGGCTGAATCTGCAGTCCTGCTCAGCCTCCTAGAGTGCTGGGAGTATAGTGGTAGACCACCATGCTTGGCCTCCTCCTTAAAAATGTACTTCTTCTTTTTTTAAAGATTTTGTTTATTTAATTTATTTATTTTTACATTTATTGTGTGTGTGTGTGTGTGTGTGTGTGTGTGTGTGTGTGTCCAGCTCAGCCCACCAGGGGGCGGGGCTGGCTGGCATGTGGTGCTGGGGGATCGA